GCACACAGAAGAAGCACACATGAAACACAAAAGCAAAAATGCAGCACTCATGCGCTAGCTGAAAACGAGCATAAAAAAGCATAAAAGCCAAGAAAGAGGGAAGAGAGACCAAGAGTATAAAATGCAGATCACAGCTGGATGAAAGGAGGAGCACAAATGAAAGACACAAGAGAGAGACCGAGAGTGAGAGAGGACTGGAGATAAGAATAAAAACCAGAGGAAAGAAAGGAAGAAGGAGGAGGAGACAGAGGAAAGAAAAATGAGAAGAGAGAGATGGAGAGTGGGAGATGAGAAGGAGTTCGAGAGAGCCAGAAACAAGAAGCAGAGACGGTGAAGACAAAAATAGAGTAAAAACATGCCGGTCACGGGACTTTTTGACTAGACGAGAAAAGAAAGAGAAGAGAGAGACTGAGAAAGAAAACAGAGACAGAATAGGAAGAGAAGAGGGAGATCGAGAAAAATAAAGACAAGATGAGAACACGAGAGTGAGAGGAATGAGAGTTTTCTAAAAAGAAAATAGAGACTGAGAGAAAGAAGAAATGAAGAGAGGAGAAGGAGGGACGACGGGAAAAATGCAGAAAGACAGAGATTGAGAGAAAGAAGTAGAACAAGAAGAGAAGAGTGAAGACTGAACGTGAAAATAGATAGAGAGAAAGAGGAAATCGAAATCAGAGGGGGAGATTTCTAGAAAGAAAAAGAGAAGAGAATAGAGGCTGAGATCAAACGTAGAAGTTAGTTAAAAAAAAGAGAAAGGACCTGCATTTTTTTAGAGAGAGAAGGAAGAAGACGTGCTACCCAATGACACAAGACGGTGCTGGATGAGCAGCTTTGGGAGTTGATTTGAGCAGTGGGCTAACACCGATTGTGATATTGAAGGGAAACATGTCTGTAAATTCTCCTTTTGAGAAGACAAGCATAGCTTCGTTTGATTAAAAGTTGGCCATGGCAAAGCGCTGTTCTCATGAGGGTATGATAGCAGGAGCCAAGGCAACTGTTGTAGCCACTGTTGCTACTGCCGTCCCAACTCTAACCAGTGTAAGGATGCTTCCTTAGGCAAGAGCTAATCTTAACCACACTAGAACCATAGGCTGCTGCAACTCGAGGATGTAGTCAATGGCAATTAAATTAGGTAATATTTAAATCATATCATCTCCCTTAATTTGGATTCATTGATGAACATATATTTATTAATAGATGTTAAGGGTGTGGACTGATCCAGATATATGTTTAGGCACTAATCTAGGTGTATGTTTAGGCATTTAAAAATTTAAGAATTAAATTTTTTTATGTAGAATTTAGAACATACATGAGAGGGGTTTGACAAAAAATAAAAAAAGGAGAGCTTGTGAAAATATTGATAATTTGTGAGGTTGATTGGGGTTTGGAGCCGTATCTATCGTGGTTATGATCTTGCTAAAAGTTTATGCCAAATCTAATTTTTTTTAGAATATATCCTCAGGTCGAAAGAATAACAAATTATCAAATTAATTTATTCTTTTCATTGCCTTTATTGTATAAATTTTTTAGCCAACTATAATATTATGCACCGATTGTAAATACAAATATTTTAGTTATCTATTTGTCATGTGAGATTTTAAAAATCTTCATAGAAACTTAAATTAATCACCTCATCGTGTGGGATAATAAGTCCTCATAGATATAGTGATTCTCAATTTTTATAATATAATAAATAATTTTTAAATAATCATATAATACACAATTTAGAAAATTAATTAACCAAATTAATGCATCTAAATTGTAATCATATTTACTAATTATATCTTTTAGTCATGTGAGATTTTTGAATCTCCGTAGACTTCTAAGATAATTGTATTATCGTATGAGTCAATAAGACTCTGAAGATATAACAATTAAGTTTTTTTAAAATATATATATATATATAAATTATATATTAAATTAATTAAATTAAAGATGTATTTAAATTTAATTTTTTTATTGTGTGAGATTTTCAAATCTCTGCAGATATTTAGGATAATCATTTTACCATATAAGTCTATAAGGCTTTGCAGGTATGATGATTAATAATCTTTAAAACATGTATATACACACTTAAAATATATTATTAACACTTAAAAATATACATAAGAATATAAATAAATAAATTAAATTGTTAAATTCTTTTATCTTATGAGATTTTGGAATCTCCGCAAATATTTAGAATAATTACGTTACCGTATGAATTAATAAGGTTTTATAGGTATAGCAATTAAAATTTCCAACCATAAAACATAAAATAAAAATAATTTTAAACTCTTTTTTTCTTTATTTTAAAAATTTAAAAATTGAGAAATTAATTAAAATTAAATTATTTTTTGTAATTTAAAACACACATATCAAAATTTTAGAAATCATTTTGTTTGCAAAATGGTGAATTATTTTTAATTAATTTCTCTTTAAAAAAATATATTCACGAATAACTTTCAAACTCAAACTACGTGGACTTTGATCCCCATTACAGGATACGTAGGCCTCAGAGTCAGATTTTGAGTCAAGTCTATCCTCCCTCATAAATAAATAAACATTTCTCACTTAATTTTTATCATTTTTGAAATACATGAATATAAAAGGAATAATTAAAATAATTATAAAATTATATTAAAAGAACACAACAAACTTCAGGTAACTGTTCTGACGAACGGGTGTTGTGGGGTACCTAACACCTTCCTCACACTCAATTAACTCCCAAACTTATTCTCTGATTTCGTAGACCACCTTTATCCTCCTTTTAAATGGTTTCCCAAGATTTACCTCAAATCTTGGTGGCGACTCCTCGTTCGATCAGGTTCCCGCTGCGAAGGTCGGGACTTCCACTAGCACGCCGTCCACGTCGCATTTTTTTCGGGTGTGACAAATATATATATTAATAATTCATAATTAAAAAAATACAATGCATACTTGAAGAAACTTTAGAGGAGGAGAAATGGAGGAAGAGGAAGAGGAGGGGAAGGCGTTACACAACAAGGGGCAGGGGGTCTCGCACGGCAGGGGGCAAAAGGAGGGAGGTCACGCATGGCAAGGGGGAGGAGTGAGGGGTCACGCATGAAATGATGGGGGAATGAGTGAGGTCGTGATGCAGGGGAAGGGGGTCTTGCACGACAAGGGAGGGGTAGGAGTAGGGTAACGCACGACAGAAAGCAGGGGGAATGGACCCACACACGATGGGGGGTGGAGTAGATGTTGGGCATGGCACAGCAAGGAGAGGAATAAGGGTCAAGCATGGCACGGCAGGGGGAGGAGTGGGGTCACACATGGAATAGCAAGGGGAAGGGGGTCATATGGCATTAGAGTCGAGAATAAAGACAGAGCCTAAATGGTCAGACTTGAAGGCTCTATTTAAATAAGAGTTTGGGTTTTGAAAATGAATAAGCCCTATAAAAAAAAGCTCGAGCCCAAGCGGCCCTTCAAAGCTTGTTATATTATTATTATTATTTTAGTGAAACACCATTTGAAGCCAAAGACTTGCTTGCCTAAAGCCTTGATCCTACACGCATTATATTATTATTAATTTTAATTTATTTTAAAATTAATTTACTATAATTTGATAAATATCAGTACCCAGTATAAAATTTTTGATATTTTTTATTTTTATATAATTATTATGTTTGTGTGTCTATAAAAAAACTATTTTAACCAAAATTTGAATTTTATTACTAAATTTTTAAATGTGTTATTTAATTTTTAAAAGATTATGAGGGTTTTAATTTTTTAAAATTTAAAATATTTTAATTAATTTATAGTGTTTAATTTTATTTTAATTTTTAAAAATTTTTAGAACAAGGCTTGTGAGCTCGGCCTTGAACCCTTCAAATAAAGGTTGGGCCTAAAAAAAGAGTGAAAAATAAAAAAAACTAGGTGTAAGGGTTCAAACTCTTATGACCAGGCCCATAAAAAGCCAAGTTCACCCGTTTCCTAACTCTACACATTGCAAGGAGGAGGAAAAGGGTTGGCAACAAAAGGAAGGAAGGAAGGGGCTAGCGTGAAATGAATGAGGGAGTGCTTAAAGAGGGAGTAATGTAAATGATGTAGAAACTCATATTTTTTATTTTTTAAAAATTTTATCCAACTTTCTACAACGACTTCTGATGAGCCGATATATAAAATAAGTTATCTATATTGGTTTAGTGAACACCCGTTGTAGAAAGTTATCAACCTTCCAACCTAATTACAAAAATGCTATTGCTCTACTTTTTATATCATTTGTTTTTCAATTGATGTAGAAAGTGTTCCTTAAATTCTTTATTTTGTACTAGTAATTGTATGGTGTAATTAATAAGGTTTTTTTCTATTAAAACATCTAGTTAAATAAAGATAAATATAAAAGAGAAAATACAATAATAGCTCTTTATTATTTTTTCAAATTTTACTTTTAATCTCTATAATTTTTTTTAGTATTTTTAGTTTATATAATTTCAATAATATTGGATCACGTTGGTTCCTTAAGTCTATAGAGTTTCAATGTTTTCAATTCATAAAAAGACTGAAAGTATTAGAAAAAAGGGAGAATAATGTTAAAGTCTCATACAAAGAAATTAATTACTAAAAGATCCATTGACAATTGAATTAAATGCATTAACTGTTAATGCAGTTTAGTTCAATTGTTAATGGACCTTACAGTAATTAATTTATTTGCGTGGGACCTAACTGTAATTCTTCCTAAAAAATATAAAAACAAAGTAAAATTCATAAAATTATAGTGATCAATAATTATGATTCTTCAACATGAAGAGAGATTATAATTTTAAAGATAATGAAATAATTTGATAAAAGCATAATTTGGTTAGAAATATTTCACAGCCTGTATTGTCTCTTTTATCGGTTATTTCCATCATTTTTAACTCCAAATCATAGAAATGACTTATAATCAATATTCTCTCCTCCTATAAACCGGGGAGGAGAGACAATCAATGAAGGCATTTTTTCATTTCTCAATGCCATTTCGAGATGTTCAGGGAATTGAACCTTTTCCGTAATGTCCGTGAGTGCAGCTTTTACAGTGCGCGGAGAGGCGCTTATCTTAACCCAGAGACAGAGGACACTATTCTCTTATTTCTTTTTTAAGATATTCCTATTTCTGCTTTTTAGTTCTCCACTCCTACTGCATTCCCCTCTCCCATTCATTCCCCACCCGCACTGTAAATTTCGACAAGAAAATATTAATAAATTAATTGGTAATATTAAGAGCACACAATTGTGCCGAAGCTCATCCTCCTACGCTCCCACCGCCATGAGCTCATCCGGCTAAACCCATGTGCTCCTGAGCCAGCACCCCACTCCAAGAATGTCGCTTCTGGCCTCTTCCCTCACTTTCTTCTTCCTCTCCCTCCTCGCTTTTCCCTCTTCTCTAGCCAATCGTCTTGTGTTGAGAGGACACGATACCCTGCCGAGTCAGAACCGGACGTTCGAGCTTGGCTTCTTCACCTTCAATGGCGGACAATCCAATCATTATTACTTGGCTGTTCGGTACGCGTCGGTTCCGCTTCCCACCTACGTCTGGGTCGCCAATCGCGAAAAGCCCAGCAAAAATCTCGCCGATTCGACGCTGGAAATCACCGAAACTGGCCTCCTGCTTGTGAAAGATTCACCAACCTCGATTCTTTGGCAGAGTACGAATTTAGAAACTTCGGGAGCAGCACAATTGAAGCTTTTAGACAGTGGGAATTTGATTCTGGTCACTCATGAAGGCTCTGTCTCCTGGCAGAGCTTCGATTTCCCCACGGACGCCTGGCTTCCGGGTATGAATCTGACCCGGACCCGATCCTTGGTGTCATGGCGGAGCCCCACGGACCCGTCGCCGGGACTCTATTCTCTGCGGCTGAGACCGCCGGGCTACGGTGAGTTCGAGCTCCTTTTCAATAACTCTAGATCTTATTGGACCACCGGACGGTGGACCGGCGACTCGTTCCTCAACATTCCGGAGATGATGATTCCTTACCTTTACCTCTTCCACTTCGTGAATCCATTCACACCGACGGCATCGTTTGGGTTCCGGGAGAAGCCTCTAAACGGGCTGAGCCCACCCACGTATTTCCGGGTTGAACCGTACGGGCAGGTCCGGCAGTACACGTGGTGGTCTCAGGCTGGAAGCTGGAACATTTTCTGGTCGGGGCCGAAAAATGTGTGTGACGTTCATGGCCTGTGTGGCAGCTTAGGAGTCTGCCAAGGAGAAACGACGCCGAAGTGCGAGTGCGTCTCCGGTTTCAAGCCCTTAGACGACGGTAGATGGGCTTCCGGGGACTACTCCGGCGGGTGCCGTCAGAAAACGGATAGTCTCTGCGATAAAAGTGATGGGTTCGTAGATATGGGCGTTATGAGCTTCGAAGCACCCAATGCGCGGTCGTCTCAAAGCAAGTCTCGAAGCAATTGCGAGACTACTTGTTTAAGTTCATGCGATTGTATTGGCTTGTCCTTCGACCAGAGGACCAGTTCCTGCAAGAACTTCTACGGGTCAATTCTGAATCTCCATAATTCATCTTCTGGAACCTCTGTTGATGGCAATTTGTATGTCAGGGTACAACGAGAACAATCTGGTAAGAAGTCGAGTCGTCAAATTCTTACTGGTACTATTATCGGGGCAATTGCCTTTCTCGGGTTAATAGTGGCGACATTGTTGGTATTGCTGAATCGAAGGCAGAAGAAGAAACTACAAGAAGATGGATTCATTCATGCACTGAATCTTCAATTATTTTCCTACAAAGAGCTTCAATTAGCGACCCGGGGATTCTCAGAGAAGGTGGGTCATGGTGGGTTCGGGACAGTATTTCAAGGAGAATTGCCAGATTCAACTCTCGTTGCAGTGAAGCGGCTGGAGAGACCAGGTAGTGGAGAAAAGGAGTTCAGAGCAGAAGTTTCCACCATTGGTAATATCCAACATGTTAATCTCGTTAGACTCAGAGGCTTCTGCTCAGAAAATTCTCACAGACTTCTGGTTTACGAGTTAATGCCCAACGGTGCTCTTAGTTCTTACCTTCGCAAAGAAGGAGGGCCTAGTCTGAGTTGGGAGGTCAGGTTCCGAATAGCTGTAGGAACGGCCAAAGGTATAGCTTATTTACACGAAGAATGTCGCGATTGTATCATTCACTGTGATATCAAACCTGAAAACATTCTCTTGGACGCCAGTTTCACGGCCAAAGTTTCTGACTTTGGGTTGGCGAAGCTCATGGGGAGGGATTTCAGCAGGGTTTTAGCAACCATGAGAGGCACTTGGGGCTATGTAGCACCAGAGTGGATCTCTGGAGTTGCAATCACTACAAAAGCCGATGTTTACAGCTACGGGATGACATTGTTAGAGCTTATAAGTGGTCGCCGTAATGTGGAGGCACCACCACAATCAGCAGGCGACGGCGGCTGCTGCGAGGAGGCTGGGGAGAAAGAGAAGTGGTTCTTCCCTCCGTGGGCTGCGCGGCAGATAATTGAAGGGAATTGGACTGCTATAGTTGATAAGAGGCTTGGCAATGCATGTAACATGGAGGAGGTAAGGAGGGTGGCTATGGTAGCTGTGTGGTGCATTCAGGATGATGAAGGAAGTAGGCCTTCAATGGGCATGGTGGTGAAGATGTTGGAGGGGTTAGTGGAAGTGAGTGTCCCTCCAACGCCTAAATTGCTTCAAGCACTGGTCTCCGGCGAGTCCTTTCGAGGTGTCAAGGCAGATTCCAGCACAGGCGACAGCCTCTCAGGTGCCAATGCTGATTCAGAATCGTTCACAGGGGCCGTTTCTTCCGCAGCAAATATGAATGTCAATGTTGTTGTACGATGATGATGATGATGATGATGGAGTTAAGGTACAGAGTAGAGCATTCGAGGTAGAGATGTTTGAGTGGAAAAGAAAATGGTAGAGTAGATGAAGATGTAAAATGGTTGACTTTGCAGGAAAAGTTTTAGGTTTGTGATTCAAAATGAAAAACCTGAAAGTTGTTCTGTCCGTCTCGCTTATATTCCGCGTTTTCTCGTATCAGATGAAACACAGAGTTGGGATTGTAGAAATAGGACCGTGGAAACGGGTGTGTCTCACTTGTGTTGAAATTAAAGCAACAAGAGATGAACACGAAAACACAATCTTAATGAAGACACAAATGACACCAACGTAATTGTTTAACAAAGCTTGTTATGAAGTGAACTTCTATCAGCAAACGGGTTTGTCTCACTTGTGTTGAAATTAAAGCAACAAGAGATGAACACGAAAACACAATCTTAATGAAGACACAAATGACACCAACGTAATTGTTTAACAAAGCTTGTTATGAAGTGAACTTCTATCAGCAAATACGGAAGTTCAGTAAAATTCTAGGAACACGCAAGAAACTTACTGGAGGAAATGGTTTAGCATTCATAATCACAAGGAACGAACTGTGACGAAATGAAAAATAGGACGAGTTTGACTTAAAAGAAGAGTAAGAGTTTGTGTTTGGTGAGAATGGGAAGTCTCCCTTCTTCCTTTTTGACCAAGTGTACATATCTGTGCTCCTTATTCTTGACATTTAATAAAGCCCGGGTTCTTGAACAAAAAAAAAAAATAGAAGTTGTTTGAAATTATTTTTATTTTATTATTTTAAAAATTAATATTTTGCAAAATATGTTTTAAGAATAAAATAATAATAAAATATATATTTTTTATTTTTTATTCTTTACAATAATAATCTCAAAATACTTGAAAGTTATTTTTATTTTTTTATTTTTTAGAATAATATTTTATTTTTTATTTTTAAAAATATTTTTAAAAAATATGTTATTAAACAAATTTTTTTATTTTTTATTTTAAAAAATAGGCTGATAAATCGGCCCATGGTCTTGGAAAAAAATTCAAGTCACGTTTTGAATGTATGAAATAAAAATTCACAATCTGACGTATTAAATTAGGAGGTTGGTAGGGGCCGGGGATAAAGATGAATCCAAGGGAACTAGCATCTGCTTTTGAAGTATAAGCAGAAAATAGAAATGATGTGATGTGATGATGGGGCATGATTTTACAAGGATTGAAAGTATCATGTTTCTTTATTCGCTGTCGACTTTATGACGATGAAATATACATTTTTAATTTTCGTTATAAATTATTTTTAACATATTTTATTAAAATTTAAAGAGTTTTAAAATTTACTAACTTTATTTTAAAATTTACTAATTTTTATTTTATTTTTATTAATAATATATTTTTTCTTCTTAATATTTAAATGGAGGATAATTGAAGAAATTTATAATAAAAATTTAATTAAGTAATTTATAAATAGAGTAAAAAATCTTTTTTTTTATAAATAAAAAATTTATCGTCTTTTTATCATTACTCGCTTTCAATTTCAACTGCGAAATCGTGGATCCTGCTTCTTTTTGTTCCCAACTTTACTCTCTCTTGTTCGGCTTTTGAGTTATCCTTGTGGGCTCTTTTCTATTCATTGTTTCACTTAAATAAATGGCATATATGGAGTCCATAACATGGTAAATTAATATTTAAATTATTACTGAGAGATGTGGACAGGTTTAATGTCTGGCGGTGCACGAGCATGATTGTTTTAATAAGAAAATATTACATCCCAAATTATAACACTTTTAAAAACAAATTTTACACCTCAAAATATAAATTTTTTAATAAAAATAAAATTTTATTAATAATATTCTATTAATATTATCTTTTTCACGTATTTTTTCTTTTTAACATTCATTCATAAATAGAGTATTAATTAAAAAATATTTTTTAAAGTTTATATTTTTATTTTAAAAAAATAAAATTGTGAATAGTATTTAATTAACTTTATTAATATATATAATTTTGTCTAATGCTGTTCTAGGAGAAAAAAGAGGAGGAAAAACAATATTTTTTGTTGCTTGATTGTGAAGAGAAAATTGAGGAGTAGAGAAAAGTGAAAAGAAAATGATAAGTGAGACTCACATATTTTTAATTTTAAATTTTCTAACGAATTATGAGAAAATTTTAAAAAAGAAATTCAAATTGACTCACTAATTTTTTTCCCATCGTCGCCTTCCTCGATTTTCGTTGACACTTTCTCTCTTATAGAAGCCGCACAGTTGGGTCGCAGCAACACCAAACCGATCTGCCTCTTGGAATTCCTTTAAATGATGATCAACCTCTCATTGCCCTAACTGGGATTTGTCTCACTCCAAAAATCAGGTTTTTTCGTTTCTCTTTCTCTCTCAACTATTGGGTTTAGATTCTGAAACTGATTTTGTTGGAAAAATATTATATATAGAATTTCGAAAACCTTGCCTCTCACGGAGACGGTGTTTATCACCAAAGTGAAAAATAACCCTGGAGATTCTGTAGTTTTACATTTGATTTTGCGTTGTCTGTGTACCTGTTGGAACAAGGGGCATAGGAATGTTCCAGTGGAGATGCATTGTGCTTTAAACGAGCTTCGACGCTCTCATGAGGGATTCAACATAGGACGACTCTTTGCATACGTTATTAGCCCAAGTTAGAAGCAGCCTTTATAGAAATTGGAATGTCTATTTCTCTTATTCCTGTAATGACTCTGATATTTTTGTTGATGAACTCTTTAGAGTAGGTAGTCTTAGTGACAATTCTGTTGGAACCTTTTACCATCAACGCTCTCAAATCTTTGGAAGGGTGGATTGTGAAAGGCACTAATTTCCTTGGTTCTTCTTTGTACAGTTTTTGATATTTAATAGATCTTTTTTTCCTATTAAAAAATTTGACAATTTTATTATTGAAGAGTGAGAGGGATTTGACGACTATAAAATTGACGTCTTCCAGCTGCATTTATGTGGACCAAATGTAACTAAATATTCTTCTAATCCTATTTATAAATTATTTTTAACATATTTTAATCATATTAAAAAAATTTTAAAATTTATTAATTTGGCCTTAAAATTTAATAAATTCTCAACTTTATTCTTATTAAATATACACATTTTAATAATATATTTCTCTTTTTAATATTCAATGGAGGGTAAAAACAAAAATTTATGATAAAAATTTAATGACGTAATTTATAAATAAAATAAATTTTTTTTACCTTATAAATAGACTTATAAATAAAATTAGAGGGAGTACTATTATTTTGGTTCAGGTCATTGGTCAGCTACTTATTAGTTTTCAATATTGTTATTTTATCTCTGTACTTTGTTGTGAATACAAGACAGAAGAGGAACCAATTGATCATAATATATGATAAAAATTATTCATATATATAATATGTTAAAATATTGAATTTTATTATATATAAATATTTTTATAAATAATAAGGTCATTGTTGTTCATATAGAATTAATAATTTTTCATTCTTTTTCATTTTTTTTTGCTCAATCAAGCAAAATGAAAAAAAAAAAATTCATCTCTTTACTTTTCTCTTCACCTCATTTCCTTCCTTTTTATTTTTTATTGCGAGCCAAGTACAATTTAAAAGCGTCACATATTTGGCATAGAGATTACTGCCTCTGTTCCCCCCCCCCCCCACACACACACACACACACACACACACACACACACACACACACACACACACACACACACACTGTATAGAGATTATATATATATATATATATATATATATGTAATTGTATCACACAACTTAAAAAAATTAATTAACCATAATAATTATATTTAAAATAAAAAAATTAAATTAAAATGTCTTATGTTAATCCAAATAAGCATGCATTAATTATTTTTTATTAATGTAAATTATAAAGAATGATTTAAAAATATGTAATAAATATTTATTAAAATATATGATTTTACATATATATAAAAATAAATAAAAAGTAATAATTTTTTATAAATAAAAATAGAGCGGTGCTCAATCATTGAGTATGGCTTGGGGATGATGCAGGGAGTTTTTGTAAGTGCCAGTTATTAAATCTGAACCCAAATATAAATACGGTATCGTTTGTCGTTGTTACAACACCGAGGTTATGATTGATGACGCATTCATTGACTTGCTTGTTACTCAATCACTGAGTCCGGTTTTGATGCTCACGAAAACAATCTGAATCGTTCAGAACTTTAATCTGAACAGTTCAGATTTTAATTTTTTTTATTTTTTTATTTTTATTTTTTTTATATTTATTATAAAAATTATAAAATTTTAATAAATTTATTTTATTATTAATCTGACAATATAAATTTAATTTAATGTTAAATTTTTTATAATTTTTTATAAATCAGTTATTCAAATATATTCTAAATAGGTTAGATTTAAAATTTTTAATTATAAATTTTTTAATTTTTTTAAAGTTACAGTTTAAAATTATCTTTATTTTTATTTTTAAATATTATATTTATTAAAATAAAAATTTTAAAAAATTTTATCATTAAATTCAAACAGTTCAAAATACATCTGCATAATTGATTTGTAAAAATTATTTTAAAAATTTTAATATTAAATTGAATCATTTAGATTAAAACTATATTATTTAAATTGATAATAAAATAGATTTATTAAAATTTTATAATATTTTATAATAATATACAAAATAAAAATATAAAAATAAAATCTTAAAATCTGAACCGTCTAAATTTTTGCTCATCAATGAAACCAAGCCTCCGTATCACTTCATTATTCATCAACGTTTATTCCCTCCCAAGTCCTCAATGACGTCCAATAAATGCTGCCTTTGTTTCTCTCTTTCTCCCCAGTCCCCACTCAGCAATCATTGTTCTTTGCTTGATTTGGTTACAGACCATTTTTTGGTTTCTCATAATAGGCTTCTTAGTATAGAAAACGAAGGCTATTTTAACATTTCTAAAGAAAAAGAAACACTGGTAGAATTTTAATCATACATTGGTTTTATGAAACGTGAGCAGTTTTGATATATAACTTCTTACTCAACCATCACATAAATACAACAATAAATTATTCATCATTGTTTTATCTCTTAAATACCTTCTCCCTCTTATTAAAAGTAGAGGAGTACTTTTAATAGTTTACATATTTTTAGATAAACTAAAACTTT